ACTCTCCCCGCACTCAGCATACCCCAATTCCCATGCTTATGGGGAACGCGGCATGCAGCCCACCGCCTGTGCTGCATGTTCCCTGAGCGGTGCTGCAGCCAGGAGACACATGCCTGGGCCGTACCAAGGGCGCACTGAGAGTGATGTAGGGAGACGGGGTCCGGGGGACCTGCAGGGCGTGTGTGGCAGGGAGGGGCTGGTGCTGAAGGTCCGACGGGAAATACAAAAGGGGACAGCAAGACGGAGAAAGGGGGTGGAGGGAGCACGAGGAAGGAGTGCTTGGAGCAAGGGAGGAGGAGCAAGCGAGAGAGAGAGGGAAAAGAGGGAGTGGGATAACGGGAGGGAGGAAGACAGGCACAGGCAGCATGTTGACTGCCGGGTCGAACACAGCAACTGAGAGGGGATAATGAACCCCTCCCTTTTCAGCTACACTGGGGTAGGAAGTAGCCCAGGGTGGGGCTTCCTTTCTATTAGCCCGTGGGCTGGTATGTTACGCCAGGAGGCCCCACCAGCCGGACAGGACCTTAACTGAGTCTGTCCTTAGGACCCTGGGCTGGGACCTGTGAGAGAGGGCGGGTCCAGGTCCCTGTACCCCGTCTGCCATAAGCAGGTGCAACGCCCGCGGCACTGCTATTAATTGTGTTTTTGATAGGCTACTGGCCAGGCCAGAGAACCTTAAAACAAACAAAAAAAAGCTATAAGAGGATGGCTGGGAGGCCGTGAGGCCAAGTGTGGCCACGAGAGACGAAGGAGCAGGACCCCGCTCCTTCACGGAGTGCATGCATGTGTCTGTCATTCTGTATCTATGGGCAGAAGTAGTCCAATAGTTAATATAGAACTATAATTTGTAAAAAGCCCTGAACTCCTTCTCCTGGAAAAGTTCAATACATATACAAGATAACCACCATTTTTTAAAAAAGTATTTTACAATAAGAAACTATCCAAGGACGGAACAGAATCTTAAAATACACCCACTATAAAACCTAAACGAAAATGATAAACTTGATCCCCTTTTCTAAGTCAAAATTTAGCATAGTCACTACCCTTAAATTACCACAGTGCCCTTGGGATATGCCAGTCAGGGGAAGGCCACACCAAAAAAGTCTCCACATCAGTATATGGCTTAAACAACACGCCTGCGCAGATCAATACTAAATATTAAAAGGGCCCCACCACTTTAAGCACTACCATAAATGTAATCCTAGTTTTCTTCAGTTAAAATAACATTTAAGTGGTTGCTTGCTTCAACCAGCTCCCAAATGTACAGAGCAGCTTATCCTGCCCACATTCCTCTCCACCCCACCTTCTCTCTGATTAAATATAGTTAGTCAGTACCCAGCCCCTGACTTCCCATGGCACATCCCTTTTCTAGGGTGACTCATTGCTTGCAGAGTTGGCTCTTTACAGGATCCTCATACTAAAGGCAGATAGCTCTAGTTGCTTGTTTATTTAGAACGACAGGTTAACTCCTTCCCTCCTGAACTTCTGGGTGAGGTCAAAACAGTCCATCACATACAGTAAAAAAATTTTAAAATACTGAATAACTCACAACAGTGAATCAAAACTCTTTCTTTAGTTGCTTGCGGTGGTGAGTTCTCATGAGGGAATAAAAGAGTCATTTCTGAAGCAAGCAGTGCAATTGTGGCAAAATATATTTATTTAACTTTGCTCCACTATCATTGTTAAAATAATGCAGTAGGAGGACAAATGAATACAACTATACAAGAGTCCAAAAAGGTTTAAGAATATATAAAATAAAGAAATAGGTAGCTAGTTATACCAATACTGTTTTCCAGATTTATGCCCGAGTGAAGCATGAGTGAGAAATATGATGACCATTTTGGTGTTCACAAGTAACACCTCAGTGAAGTGAGTTGCCTTCTAAACCAGTGATTTGGCCTTGCTCATATTGTCCTCTTTGAAAGCAAAAGAAGAATTAGGTTATTAGAACTAGTCTTGACAGAGGAACTAGGAAGCTTGATTTTATATGTGAGATAAAAAAAATAGATGTACACACATTTCTGAACCCCTGGATTTTGAGTGCTAGAATCCTAATGTGTTGATAGTGTCAGTGGTAATAAGCAGATTTAAGAAAATAATTTAAATTATTGCCATACTGTGAATGGGGCATACAAACTCCACACTAGAAAGGAAGGTATTAAAAAGCTGCTCTGGCCCCAGGTGGCCTCACCACACCAGCAAAATATGCACAGGCTGGAGAAGAGACTTAACAGAGGTGCAGAGCAGCTCAGGAGGTGACAAACAGTGGAGGTAAAGATATTTCTATTTGGAGCTCCTGCAAAGAAGCACTGCATGAGTTGCTGAGGTCTGGCCACAGGGATGTGGCCCAGTCAGTGAAAGAGGAAGTCATACCTCTCCAAAGGCCTTTATCTTTTGAGTTCAGCTAATAAAAGACTTTATCCAATGGGAAGAGACAGGTTGGTAGGAAGTGAACCAGAGAAGCAGAAGTAAAGCATTTCAGGGTGCAGGGCTTAGCTATTTAACACTGGGCCCTGGAATGGAAGCTGGTGGAGAGGCAAGGCCTGGGTTCTCATACCACTGCCTGGGGAATGCCAAAGATAGAATTCTACCCTTGGTGTGGGGAAATATAGTTGAAGGAAGGCCCTGCAAACAGAAGAGTCTGGATCACAGGAAGCTCATCCAAGGGGAAGCAGGGATCCCCTTGCCTCAGAAGAATACTCTACTGCTGCACTTTTTATATAACCATGAGAGGCAGATGCAAATGAATGGCCTGAGGGACAAGTTCATGCTTAATTTCAGAATCACTATAGTCCCAAGCATGCAAGCTCCTACCACTATAGATAAAGCACCTGTCAGATCTTTGTAAAGCTTACCTGTCCTCCCTGTGTCAGCAGTATCCCTCATGTAGCCAGTGGTGGGATCATCCCATACTTGCGGGGCATCAGCTTCCTCACCCAAGCTCCTCTCGTTTGTGTTCCCCTGATACTAAATACACCGATGTGATACACAACTATGAGATTCTCAGATCTGGGCAGCATGTTCATAGCATGGTCCCTGAGCAGCTTGTACCTTCTATCAAGTAAAGGATGGCGAAGATGGAGCTGCTAGGATGGGGAGCCAAAAGTAAGGAAAGAGCCAAAAGGACTAAAAATAGACCATAAAGAGGGGGAAATGAGGGGGAAAATAACAGGATGGAAAGAAGAGGACAGAGGAAGGACAGGAGAGGTAAAGAACAGAGGAAATGAGATGTAATGGAACTGTGTTGGGTCAGGACACAAAGGAATGTGAAGGGAATGGGAACACCCATCTGCCAAGACAAGCCAAAGGGAGCTCCACAGCAAAAAAGAGCGAGGAACCATTGTATACAGTGGTGGAATAACTGGGCAGAAATACATAGTTGGGTATATCAACAAGGTTTCTTCCTCATATGTTTATTATAAAATAAACTAAAATATTAAAAAATAAAAAGCAGGCAATTGCACAGGGGCCCAATGATTCAAAGGGGCCCTAGGCACCAAGCCCTTTAAACCACTGTGGCACTACAGGAAGCTCTTAAGGCTGCCTAGACTGGTGGGGTGCCATGGGGCACACTCCCGGCAGTGTGGGGCACACTCTCAGCAGTGCTATAGGGGTGCCATAGTCCAGGTGATGTTGAGGGCCAGCTGCCCCTGAGCCTTGTCCCTTCTGCGTGAAGCCCTGCCCCACCTCACCCAAGGGCCCAGCATGGCTGTCGGCTCCTCTAGATTCAACCTACCATGACTGGGGGTCCTATTATCTTAACAATATTCTCTCCATTTTGCTTCCACTTTCACTAAAAAAATTAATTGTGAAAAGATACTTAACATAATTAATATTAACAAAAAGGGGGAGGAAAACAAACCATAATAGGGTAAAAACAAGTGAAAGAATATTTAGAGAACATGCATTAAAATTGGTAGAGCCTGATGAAATTCACCGTATAATACATAAAGAAATAGCTGCAATCATTCCAGAACTATTAACAACTCTTGGAGGTCCGGGGAAGGGCAAATGTAGGGCTTATCTTTAAAAAGGGGAAAGAAAGAGTTCCTGAGGAATTATAGGCCAGTCAGGCTAACTTTGATACATGGAAAGAAACTTGAGCAAATTATTAAATGATCCATTTGCAAGCACAGAGTATAACCACTAACATGGATACATCATGCTAAACCAAACTACTTTCTTCAGTGTATAGTGACTGTGGGGAATCAGTAAACATGACATATCTTGATTGTAGTAATGGTTTTGGCAGAGTCTAGTTTGCACACTCATAAGCAAACCGTAAGGATATGTGGACTAGATGAAATCACTGAAAAGTGAGTGCTCAACTGATTGCAAGACTACTCTCAAAGAGCAGGTATTACTGGTTCACTGTCACCTTGGGAGGATGTAACTAGTGAAGTCTCACAGGGATTTGTTCTGGCTTCAATATTATTCAACTTATTATTCAAAATTCATGCTTATAAAATTTTCAGATGAAACCAAGTTGAGAGGTATTGCAAGCACTTTGAAGAAGAGGATTAGAATTCAATATAGCCTTGAGAAATTAAGAATTGATCTGAAATACACAAGATGAAATTCAGCAAAGACAAGTGCAAGATACTTTCCTTGGGAAGGGAAAAAAAATCAAATGAACAACTACAAATAGGGAATATTTGGTGAGGTGTCAGTACTGCCGAAAAGGAGCTGGGGTTTGCAGTGGATCACAAATTGAATACGAGACAACAGAATGATTCATTTGTGAAAAAGGCAAATATCCTGGTGTGGTGTTAACAGAAGGATTGTATGTAAAACACAGGAGGTAATTGTCCTGCCAGCACAGGTGAGCTCAGCTGGAGTATTGTGTCCATTTTTGGGTTCCACAATAGACAAATTGCACAGACCAGACAAAAGCAACAAAAGATAAAAGATAAAAGATAAAAGACAAAAGATAAAAGTTCTAGAAAACCTAATCTATAAAGATAGGTAAAAAAATCTAGGTATGTTTACTCTTGAAAAAAGACAACCTAGGAGGAGGGAATCCTGAAATGTCTTCAGGTATGTTAAGCATTGTTATAAAACAGTACTGTAATCAATTGCTCTTCATGTCCATAACTTACTCTAAATTCACTAATCAATATGGGCTTATCTAGACTATGCGGAAGATTCGAAAGAGGATATGGGAATTTGCATATCTTCTTCCGATCTCGCTTTCGAAAGTGAAAGTAATCAAGATGCATTTTTTCGGCAACCTCCCCTTTTTTCGAAAAACCACCTAAACCTCATTTCGAAAGTGAGATCAGAAGAAGATATGCAAATTTGAGGAATTTGCATGTCCTCTTTCGAATCTTCCTATATGAGATTCCCATATGAATCTCATATAGATGAGCCCTATATGTCTACACACCAGCTAGGAGCACGCCTCCCAGCCCAGGTAGACAGACTCATGCAATCTTGGCTCAAACGAATATGCTAAAAATGGCTGTGTGGAGGTTGTGGCATTAACAGAGGTTCAGGCACCACCCAAGCTCAGATGCATGTTACTCTGAGTCATCAGCATTCAAGGGCTGCTTTCAGTTTTCCCCAAAGGCTGGAGTTGTTTGGAGGCATGTTTTTGGTGCAGAGCCTCTCTAAAGATATTACCTAAAGGTATTCAGTTGGTTGCTAGAGATCAGAGAATCTTTACAGCATAATTTCTTCTCAATACACCTTATGGTCAATTGAATAAATGAAAATAAAAATTGTGGGCACTTCATTGTTGGAAAGAACACATGTGTATAAGGAGTGATTCAGATGATCACAGAATCATAGAACACTAGAACTGGAAGGGATCTCGAGAGATCATCAAGTTCAGTCCCCTGCCCTCATGGCAGGACCCAGTACTGTCTAGACCATCCCTGATAGATATCTATCTTAAATATCTCCAGAGATGGAGATTCTACAACCTCCCTAGGCAACTTATTCCAGTGTTTAACCACCCTGACAGTTAGGAAGTTTTTCTTAATGTCCAACCTAAACCTCTCTTGCTGAAGTTTAAGTCATTGCTTCTTGTCCTAACATCAGAGGCCAAAGAGAACTATTTTTGTCCCTCCTCTTTGTGACACCCATTTAGATACCTGAAAATGACTATCCCCTCTCAGTCTTCTCCTTTCCAAACTAAACAAGCCCAATTCTTTCAGTCTTCTCTCATAGCTCATGTTCTCTAGACCTTTAATCATTCCTGTTGCTCTTCTCTGGACCTCCTCTAATTTCTCCATATCTTTCTTGAAATGTGGTGTCCAGAACCAGATACTATATTCGAATTGAAGCCTAACCAGTGCAGAGTAGAGCGGAAGAATGACTTCTCGTGTCTGCTCTCAACACTCATGTAATTGCATCCCAGAATCATGTTAGCTTTTTTGCAACACCGTATCACTGTTGACTCATATTTAGTTTGTGTTCCACTATGAGCCCTAGATTCCTTGCTGCAGTACTCCTTCCTAGACACTCACTTCCCATTTTGTATGTGTGACATGGATTGTTCCTTCCTAAGTGGAATACTTTGCATTTTTCCTTATCCTTCATCCTATTTAGCTCAGACCATTTCTCCAGTTTGTCCAGGTCATTTTGAATTATGACCCTATCCTCCAAAGCACTTGCAACCCCGCCCAGGTGGTATCATCTTCAAACTTAATAAGTGTACTCTCTATGCCAATATCTAAATCGTTGATGAAGATATTGAACTGAACCGGTCCCAGGGGGTATGACTACACTACCCTCCTAGTTCGAACTAGGAGGGTAATGTAGGCATACCGCACTTGCAAATGAAGCCCGGGAATTGAATTTCCCGGGCTTCATTTGCATAAGCCAGGCGCCGCCATTTTTAAATCCCGGCTCGTTCGAACCCCGTGCCGCGCGGCTACACGCGGCATGGACTAGGTAGTTCGGACTAAGCTTCCTAGTCCGAACTACTGTTACTCCTCATTCCACAAGGAGTAACGGTAGTTCGGACTAGGAAGCCTAGTCCGAACTACCTTGTTCGTGCCGCGTGTAGGCGCGCTCAGTATTGTGGGTAGTGTAGCCGTGGACAGGATCAGGTCGGTGACAGCCAGCATGCAGAGGAAATAGTACATGGGCTCATGGAGGCTCGGCTCTGTTTTCACAATGAACAGGATGGTGAGGTTCCCCAAGATGGTTATGACGTACATGATGCAGAAGGGGATGGCGATCCAGACATGGGCCCACTCCAGGCCAGGAATTCCCAAAAGGATGAAGGTGGAGGGGTTGGTGAACTCAGTCGTGTTGGACTCTGCCATGGAGCTGGAATGAAAGTACCAAACTCTGAGGCAGAACAGTGTCTATTGAATGTGCCGTACGTTCCCCTGACGTCCTGAGTGGGCCCAGGATCTACAGCAATGCTCGCAGAACAGGTGTCTGAAAGGACAGAAAATGTTTGTATGAAGCGCGGTGCGCACTGAGGGAGACTATTATAATGGGGAAGCAGATCGGTTGCTCTTCACGCCCTGGGAAATGACTTTTTCATTATTCAGATAAATGAATTGTAAACAAATGACCCAACTACTGGCAATTCCATATTTTCTGGTACTCCCCATGTCAATCATGTCTACACCTCATGCTGTGGGCCCACTTACATTCATAGAATCATAGAATACTAGCTGGGGTACTGCTTGTTGTACTGTTTGAATCAGCGGAAACTGAAAAGTAATAAAAGGATTGTGTTAGTGCAGCCTTCTTCCAGCTCTGTTTGGTGCTCAAGTATTAAAGTTAATAATGTGTGCATACAAAAGCATTTGTAACATTTAGGATCATAGTGCTTTCCCTTACGTTTCCAGAGATGTGCAGGATTTAGCTATCCCACTTACATTCATAGAATCATAGAATACTAGGACTGGAAGGGACCTCGAGAGGTCGAATCCAGTCCCCTGCCCTCATGGCAGGACCAAATACTTTCTAGACCATCCCTGATAGACATTTATCTAACCTACTCTTAAATATCTCCAGAGATGGGGATTCCACAACCTCTCTGGGCAATTTATTCCAGTGTTTGAGCACCCTGACAGGAACTTTTTCCTAATGTCCAACCTAAACCTCCCTTGCTGCAGTTTAAGCCCATTGCTTCTTGTTCTACCCCCAGAGGCCAAGATGAACAAGTTTTCTCCTTCCTCCTTAAGACACCCTTTTAGATATCTGAAAACTGCTATCATGTCCCCCCTCAATCTTCTCTTTTCTAAACTAAACAAACCCAATTCCTTCAGCCTTCCCTCATATGTCATGTTCTCTAGACCTTTAATCATTCTCGTTGCTCTTCTCTGGACCCTTTCCAATTTTTCCACATCTTTCTTGAAATGCGGTGCCCAGAACTGGACACAATACTCCAGTTGAGGCCTAACCAGCGCAGAGTAGAGTGGAAGAATCACTTCTCATGTCTTGCTCACAACACACCTGTTAATACATCCCAGAATCATGTTTGCTTTCTTTGCAACAGCATGACACTGCTGACTCATATTTAACTTGTGGTCCACTATAACCCCTAGATCCATTTCTGCTGTACTCCTTCCCAGACCATCGCTTCCCATTCTGTATGTGTGAAACTGATTGTTCCTTTCTAAGTGGAGCACTTTGTATTAGTCTTTATTAAACTTCATCCTATTTATCTCAGACCATTTCTCCAATTTTTTCAGGTCATTTTGAATTATGACCTTATCCTCCAGATTAGTCGCGATCCCTCCCAGCCTGGTATCATCTGCAAACTTAATAAGCATACTTTCTATACCAATATCTAAATCGTTGATGAAGATATTGAACAGAGCCGGTCCCAAAACAGACCCCTGCGGAACCCCACCTGTTATGCCTTTCCATCAGGATTGTGAACCATGAATAACTACTCTCTGAGTACGGTTATCCAGCCAGTTATGCACCCACCTTATAGTAGCCCCATCTAAGTTGTATTTACCTAGTTTATTGATAAGAATATCATGCGAGACCGTATCAAATGCCTTACTAAAGTCTAGGTATACTACATCCACCGCTTCTCCCTTATCCACAAGACTCGTGATCCTATTAAAGAAAGCTATCAGATTGGTTTGACATGATTTGTTCTTTACAAATCCATGCTGGCTGTTCCCTATCACCTTGCCACTTTCCAAGTGTTTACAGATGATTTCCTTAATTACTTGCTCCATTATCTTCCCTAGCACAGAAGTTAAACTAACTGGTCTGTAGTTTCCTGGGTTGTTCTTACTTCCCTTTTTATAGATGGGCACTATATTTGCCATTTTCCAGTCCTCTGGAATCTTTCCTGTCTCCCATGATTTTCCAAAGATGATAGCTAGAGGCTCAGATACCTCTTCTATCAGCCCCTTGAGTATTCTAGGATGCATTTCATCAGGCCCTGATGACTTGCAGGCATCTAACTTGTCTAGGTGATTTTTAACTTGTTCTTTTTTGCAACCCCACCCACTTGGTATCATCTGCAAACTTAATAGTGAGACTCTCTATGCCAATATCTAAATAGTTGATGAAGATATTGAACTGAACCAGTCCCAGGATGAGCCACATTGTAGCCAGTTACTCCTCACATGCAGTGTAGGGAGCAAGTCAGGGTAGGAGCAGAAGGGTTGGCGTGCCCTTGACTAGAAAAGCATGGACAGAAAGTGCTGGCCGTGCAGGGGTACCACTGCAAGTCATCTTCCCAGCACAGTTCCTAATGCTACTGCAACCCTTTCTGTGACTACTCAGTGCAGTCTCTCTCATATTCCTGTTTGTCTCATGGTTTGAACTACTGCAGTTTCTGTGATTTTATTTATGGAATTTTTCTGTTCTGTAAGTTGCAGAGTAATGCTGGGAGAGAGTGGTTCTATGGGCAGGCTGAAAAGAGCCAAGATGGCCAGGTTTAACTGCCCCACTGCAAGTTGTAAAGGGGCAGTTTCTAGTACAGACTAAGCTAAAGTGTAAGCCAGAGATGTGCCTGTCTCTTTAGGGGTAGGTGCAGAACAGCCAATGGCCTACCCTCATTTCAAGTTTCCAAACAGCCACCCTCCCTTCACACACTGTCCCCCTAATTGGCAAAGTAACCAGGGGCAGACCGTGAGCATAGGCCGACTCGGCAGTCGCCTAGGGCGCTGTCTTCAATGGGGCACCCAATGATGACATCACGTCCATTGATGGCCAGGCAGGTGGGGGCGTCAATCGCGTATTCCACCTGGGGCGCCAGCTGCCACAGCCCACCTCGGGCTGCCACTGAAAGTAACACATCCACACACTGTCCCACTAAGGACAAATTAACATGGATGGGGGCCTGGAGGGTAGCTTGGAAGGGGAGGGCAGGGTTGTGGGGTCAAGCCCTGCCCACCCCAGGAGAGGTCAGTCAGCCACCACCAGTTGCCCCTGGGATAGAGGTGGCTTATGCATTAGGAAGGCAGGATAAGGGACACCCTGAAGGCCAGCATCTCAGAACGGCAGTCTTATTATGACCTGCTTGGGAGTCGTGCACCTCCTTGCTTTGATGTGGGAGGTGAAGGGACTAGAAGCAGCTGGCAGCAGGAGGAGGGAAGGGCAGTGAGGAGGAGGGAACTACAACCCAAGCTGCTGCAGCGTGAAAGGAGAAGAGGGTAAAGGTGCTGCTGGGAGGGAATCTAAGCAACACAGAACAGGAGGCCTCTTACCAAGACAGCAGGCAGTGACCAAAGGAAGGAAGGGGAGGAAGCAGCGGAAAACTGATGCAATTTCTCTACAGGGGAACAAAGAGGAGTAGGAAGTAAAACTTCTCCAGCTCTTTCTTCCCTTTCCCAGAACACATGGGTAGCACTCCCTTTGCTCCAGACAAACAGTCCATAAAAGTTATTTATATACAAAGTGCACAGCAAACTTTTCCTACCAAAATACTACAGAATAGCACCAACAGAGTAACAGTGAATAATCACTGGCACAGTGTCTTAAAATAGTGAAAGGCATATTGGCAACTTACAAATCAAACTTCTGCCTAAACACTTGTACCTATTATTGTCACAAATAGTACTGAAAATATTTAATGGACTTAAAAAAAAAAAAAAGCATTTTCGGCACTAGCTGCAGAGTTTGCAAACTTTGTGTACTCATAAATTATTGCCAGTTTCACTGTCCCTGCCCTATTGTATCCCTACTACAGTACCCGCATCTCTTCATTTCCCCGTGAACTCTGGGTGTCTATGGAAAACTCTACACTATAAAGTTCTGCTAGAATAGCTAGGTTGGTCAGGCAAGCGATGAGGTACAATCTGTGGCCAGCATAGCCATGTTACAAAAGCCCAATATAGAGGAGCTTTTGCTGGTTATTTCATTCAGGGGCTGGAGCTGGGATAAGCTGTGTTGGCAAAAGCACATTTTTACTGGTATAAACTGCACCTGCACTAGGAACACTTTGCTGCAGCTGTATAGGCAAAGCACTCCCTGAATAAAGCTGGCCTCTTATAACTACGCTGAGTGGTGCAGGGCTCCATGGTTGCATATTACAGTGCCTTACCTGTGCTATATAACACTACAATGGGATGCTGTACTGGGCTCCCAGCTCTAAAGTGACCTGGAAGTATTTAAACCACCTGACCATCTCCTTCTGGAGAGAGAGCATGAGAGGGAAAGTGAGAAGGATGAGAATGCAGGAATCTCCAAAAGATGATCAGCCCCAACTACAACCTCTCCCCCAAAAAACCGATCTCACAGGCCTTGGGGGACAGGCCAGTCCTCACCTATAGACCACCCCCTAATCTGAAGCAAATTCTTTCGAGCAGTCACACATCACACCTCAAACATACTTAGCCAGAAATCTACCCCTGCAATAAACTCGGGTGACAACTCTGTCCAGACATCTATACAAGTGACACCATCACCTCAGTGCAGGACCTGACCAGATAAACCACCACATCAGAGGCTCATACAACTGCACATCACCTAATCTAATGTGATATATGATATCAGGTGCCAGCCCCTCTGCCATGAATAATGGCCAAACTAGACAGTTTCTACAATGAAGGATAAATGGACACAAGTCAGAGAAACCTATAGGAGAACATTTTAACCTATCTAGGCACTCATTAATGGATTTAAAAGTAGCCATTCTTCTACACAGGAATTTCAAAAGCCAACTACAGAGAGAGTGCAGAATTGGCCATCAGATACACATTTGACACTCTCTTTCATGGCCTGAACAAAGACCTGAACTGCATGGGCCATTATAAAACCTGCTTTCCTTACATTCAACAATCAATTGACATCAGAAGGTAGGCATGGGACACTTCTAGCCCACTCAATTAGCCTCATTAGCACTGGCACTACAACTGACTGGTACTTTTTTCTTTCCTCTCCCTTCTTTTTCTATTATAAATTGTGAGGCTCCCACTATTCTCTCCACTCTGTTCATATGAGGAAGTGGGTTTTACCCACAAAAGCTCATGATACTATCTATATATGTTTGTTGGTCTCTAAGGTGCTACAGGACTACTCTTTGTTTTTCAAGTTACAGACTAACATGGCTACCCCTCTGAGACTTATTTTATTATAGTTTGTTTGTTTTAGCATCATGCACTCAGCCCTGCACATTTTCACAAAAAGAAGACTGTACTTAACAGAGTCTGCTTTTTTGGGTAATATTCAGGGTTGACCACATGGAATAGGACTTTTATACCACTGCACTTACCTTGATCTATTAAAAGGTTTGCCA